AATGAACCCCAAACAGGATAGACCCCAAAAGAAAAACACCAAGACATATCATCATCAAACTCACCAAAACCAAAGACAAAGCAATAATCATGAGAGCAGCAAGGGAAAAACAGAAAGTTACCTACGAGGGGTAATGAATAAGACTAAGCTCGGATTCCTCGACAGAAAGCCATGCAGATGAGAAGACAACGGGATGGTATATATAAAACCCTGAAAGAAAATTTTCCAACCAAAAATTATGTACCCAGCAAAATTGTCCCTCAAATATGATGGTGAAATTATGACATTTCCAGATAAGTAGAAATTAAGGGAATTTGTTAAAACCAGACTTACCTTAAAAGAGATGCAAAAGGGTGCCCTTTGGACAGAGAAACAACAACAGCCAACAACAACTGACCATTAATACACATGATGACATAACCCAGAAACCAACCCAGCTATGGAAGTATCCAAAGTAAATAAGCCTACAAAATTGTAAACAGGGAACCAGAGACATCAATTGACAAATGAGGACAACTACAAACCAAAAAGAGGGAAAATCCTGTGTTGTTACAGAACCTCTAAATGGTAGGGAAGTCAAGACAACTACAAGATAGAATGGACTGTTCTAAACTTGGGAAGAAAACTATAAATCACAAGGTAACCACAAAGGAAAATGTTAAAGCTTCACATCAAAAAAGAGGACCAGCATAAATACTCAGCAAATACTAAAACAATAGCAATGAAAGAAGTGATAACACGATTCATAAACAAAACGAGCTCAGCATAGAAAATTATATGGAATGAAAATCAACACCATGAAAAAGTACATCACAAAAATGATGGCAACAAATTCATATTTGGAGATAATTACATATCTGTCAAGGGACTTATTTCTAAGATTTATAGTGGAAGAGTGGATGACCAAAGTATGGTACATACACATACTGGAATGTTATGCAGCACTAAAGAATAATGTAGTTTGCAAAACACCACATAATATGAATGAACCTGGAGGTCACTGTACTGAGGGAAATAAGTCAATCACAGAAGGATAAATAGAGTATTAGTTTGGTGTTGTGGAGGGTCAAGGAAAAGTTTATATATGGAAGGAAATTTTCTTTGTTGGTTGCCAGGGGTGGGAAGGGAGGGGAGGGTACACTGCAAAAAAAAAAAAAAAAAATGCATTGACCCATGTCACTTTAGTTTTGTGTATTTCACTGTACATAAACTATATTTCAATAAATTGCATGAAAAAAAAAAGGCACAGGAGGGGGTCATAAGGAACGTAGGGGAGGAGAGTGGGTTAGGGTCAGGAATGGTAATCAGGGTGTGAAATCAAACGTACATGAACTGTTGAATGTGAAACAAATTCTGCTCTGTAAACTTGCCCCAAAGCACAATAAAAAAAAAGAAAAGAAATTATTTTAAAAAGTTATATTAGATACGTAAACTCAAACTCACTCACTGCCTTTGAGTCGGAAAACAAACTCATTTTGGGAAAATATATTTATACACTTGCTACATATTGTTAACTATTTAGCTCACAGTTACTTAGTTCTTCAAGGAAAAAAAGGTACTAAGGGAGAGCATTCCAGGTAGAACTGTAACGCAATTTGTAAATGATAGACATCAATTGTTCCTGTACCTCCTCTAACATTTGGTTCACAGACTGTCCATCTAAAGTGCAACCTCTATTCATGAATGTTTGCCTGATTATTCCAGCTGAAAGCTTTCTTCCTATTTTAAATATGGAGGGAATCTCGTTTTCAGCATCTGTTATAGGTTGAATTGTGTCTCCCCCAAAATATACATTAGAATCCTAACTTTATACCTGTGGATGTAATGTAATACAATTTAATGACTTTCCATAAGCAATCTAAAACATAGGTCAATGAGGCCATACCATTGTAAGGTGTGTCCTAAACCTGATCACTGCTGAGTTATAAAAAGATCAGATTGGTCACAGGGACTAGGATGTAGTAGAGAAGACAGAAGCCATGTGAAGATCCTCTGTGAGACAAGGAACCACAGTATGTCTGGGCTACCAGCAAAGAAAGAATCAATTAGGCCAAATCTTGATTTGGACTTTCAGCCTCCAGAGCAATGAGAAAATAAATTTCTGTTCTTTAAAGCCACTCATTTACGGTGTTTGTGTCACAGAACATCTAGGTAACTAAGACGGGATCACTTGCTATTTCTTTGTCTAGAGCCCTCTCCTGAAGGTGAGTGTTCATTTTGTTGCCAGTTTCTCCCTTTCCTTCATGTTGATCTCTATCCAAATGTTGCCTCTTAACAGAGGCCTTCTCTTCCCACACTATCAAATATGATGCCCCAATTCCTACCTTTCAAGTTCTATTCCTTAATCTGCTTTATTTTCTATCACCTGTATAACACATATTAGTAATATGTTATTTATTTGATTAGTCATGTATTTCTTGCTCTTCCATTAGAATGAAAGTAACAGAAGAGTAGAGAATGTGTCTTATTCACCTCTGTGTTACCATGCCTGGAATGGTGCCTGGCACATGGAAGTTTCTCAGCTATTGTGTCTTCAGTACACTGAGTGAATGAATGAATGTCAGGCTTCTTTTAAGCAACAAGTCCAGTTAACTTATTGAAATAGCAAAACTAGTGCAAATTAGCAATCCAACAATGATGTATATCCCAAGTATTTTCCCATAACAAATCTTGACATATTTACAAGCTTGCAGTTGCTTACTACTGAAGTCTCATCCATTTTATTTGATAATCAAAATCATGATGGTGTTAAAGCAGATATTGTGCTACATGCTAAATATTTTAGTAGAGAAATGTGAGAAACAAATATCTCTGATTATGGATAAATATACTCTTTTCATAAGAGATGTATTAAAAGAAAAATCATTAACAAAATTAGCTGATGGTTGATTCAAGATTACAAGATTGTTTTCCAGTCTATCTTGAGGTAACTTCTAGCAGGTAGGTGCCTGGGAATCTCTTGAGGTTTAGAATCTCAGGACCAAAACTTGAGTTTGTTATTGGTCAAGTTGTAAATGATCTTATTTCTGTTTATTCTTTGATTGCTTATCATGGCATAAAATAGGACAAACAATAAACCCATCTTAAGATGGGTGTTCAGTTATGTATATTTTCAATTTTATTACTTTGAATTTCTAGCCTTTGAATTTCCTTATTGCATTTTATGATTTTCATTATATCTGGATTCACCAAATAAAGTAATATAAATATGTCTCTTCCTGGGAGATTATACCCTGACACTGATCTAAATTTTTTGTTCATGATTGAGTCTTAGGGCAATGTGTCACTGATTATTTGAGGTAGGATAGAGAATCATTGAGGGACATAAAGGAACAATGCCTTGGTGTCCCAACTTAAAAAGCAAAGTTTCAGTAAGTAGATTATGCTTAATCCCATATAAGCATAGTTATTCCCACCTTGTTCATTCCTATTTCTATTCATCACATTTGTAAACATAGAAAATAAAGTTGTATATCTAACTGAAGATAGCTTATGAATTATCTCATAAAGGAACAAGATCCAATCTCTGAATACAACGGAAAACACTGTGGAAATTCCCCTACCTGTCTTTAAATAGTGTGACATCGATTCCTTTCCTACGAAGCAGATCTTGTGGTCCATAGGGTGTGTTTTTGCACTTAGAGTCTGTGTCACAGAGTAGGGTTTGCAGGAACGGGAAGAAGCCGGTACTAGGAAGATTTCGAGGTGCGAGGTAACCTGAAATTAAAATACAATAATCACATCACTATAGCAGATCTGCCTTGGGAAAAGAAAGAAGTACAGCAACATCTGGTGTATGACTGACTGGTCCTCAGCTGGTCTCACCTCTGCGGCTAACATTTGTCATTGCATAAGAACAGACTTGGAGGGCCTTTTGATAAATTTGATATTTCTCAATTGCTAATTTGTATCAAAAGACTTTAAAAGGCCTGTTGTTCCACTAATCCTTCTTCCTGGGATTTATTCTAAGGAAATATGGGTAGTTGATATGATGTTGCCTAGATAATTTAAGAAATAAATCCATATATCCATCTGATGAAATACAATGCAGCAATAAAAATGCTGTCACAATTCATTTGTTAATATGGAAAATATTTATAATATAGTGTTCATTTAAAAGAGTAAGTCAGAAAACATCAGTACAGAATAATGCCAAGCTTATAAAAATATATAAATATATGTATGCTAAAAATATAGAAAGGTATACCACCAGAATTTTACAGAAAGTTTTTTTTCTGGGTTATATATTTCATATTAATTTTATTTACTAGTTTTTGATGCTGAATCAACTACTTCTTTACAATGTATATGTCTTCTTTTGTAATCAAAGCATTTATGCATGCAGCCAAACTTCCTGATGCCAGGATACATTTTTGGTCTTCTAAAAAATTAAAATCATAGCTAAACTACTTTTTTCCTATGCACACAATAGCTTTTCCTATTTAAAAAACAAAAATGAATGATATGATTAAATATGCAGATTTCCCAGTAATTAAAGTCACAGAAAGCATAAGCAGTAAAGAGTTTTATAACCTAAACAGTTGCTTTACAAAATGCAATAATCATATATACATGAGTTAAGAGAGACACAGACAAGGTGTGGAACACAAATCTTCCCATAATCAAGTTTGATATAAAAACTGGTAGCGTAGTGCCTAAGGCACTTGACTGCTAACCAAAAGGCTGGCAGTTCAAATCCACCAGCCACTCCTGAAGGAAGATGGGGCAATCTACTTCCATAGTGATACTGCCTCAGAAACCCAAGGAGGGGTCACTATGAGTCGGGTCTGACTCTATGGTACATAACAACAACAACAACAAGTTCTTTCTACTTTGGAAATTATAGAGACAATGAAGTTCTAAAAATGTTCAGAAACTATGAAGGAATTACCAAACTGAAAGCCAAAATAATCAAGACCATAACTTCTTATAAATCTGGAAATCAGATAAGAAAGACATCATTACAGGCCTGTTTTCATTTTAAAGAGAAACAGGAAAAGAAAAAAAAAAAGAGAGAGAGAGTAAGAGCTAAATGGCAAAGTATGAACCCTATACTAACCATGAGCATAAAAAAGAGAAATCTGATCCAAATTACTTCAATACAGATTTGCATAAAGGAAAAGAAAGGAACAACAGAAAAGGGGTAATGCAAAAGTTGATCAGAAAAGGACTTCTGGTAAGATGAAGGACTAGGCAGACAAGTGATACAGACCCTCTTCAACAAAGAAAAGAGAAACCAATCAACAGAGATACAGAAGATAATCCTGGAGCCTGAAAGGAACTATACAAAAGTGGACTAGGCACCAACTAGTGGAAAAATCTGACCTAAAGATCAGCCCTGGTCACCAAGGGCTGCAGGGATGAATGCACTGGTGGCCTATGACTAGGAAGGGAAACAGCAAGGAGGGAGACAACCTGAGCTGTGGACTTTCTGCTGTCCAGAGGGCACAGCCATTTTATTGTTTACACACAGCAGTCATTTCAGATATTTAAAGTGACTGAGAGTGCACCCATTTTGAATGTTTACAAGTGGCAACTATTTTGGATTTTAAAGTGATAGCATTCTCATTCAGATTCCAGGGACCTAAGAATAAGCTCTGTTTGCTAAGTTCAACAGGGACATACAAGAGGCTGACAACAGGAAAGGAGACAGATGGTGAGTGTATAAGGGGTGTCAACTAGAGAATAGAGGAGCATAGTACCCTGCTTGCGTAGACAACATACAAAGAAAACAAAAATTGTGGGCAAGTCACTCTAACATACAATCACCAATTAAATACAAACACAAAAGCATGACAATGCCTCGGAAACAACAGAACATCACAGTCCACACAAAGAAGCAAGATAAAGCAGGAGAAACAAGGGACCAGGATACATACTCAAAACACATCCCTGACGAAGACATAGCATTGGAAATCCCTGATAAGGAATTCAAAAGAATTATATTTAGGTATCTTCAATGAATTCAGAGACAGATCCAGGAAAACACTGAGGAAACCCTAGAACAATTTCAAAGGACAATACCAAGAACAAAATAACAAAATAAATGAAAACTTAGAAATGATACAAAATCTACACATAGAAATCCAGAAGATTAGTAGTAAATTTTCAGAAATAGATAAGACATTGAATGGGCAAAGGAGCAGAATTGAATCAATGGAAGACAGAATTAATGAGATTGAAGACAAATACCTCAATATTCTTTGGAAAGGGAACAATCAGAAAAAAAGATCAAAACAAAATGAAGAAAGCCTAAGGTTCATGTGGGATACCATCAAAAGGAATAACCTATGTGTAATTGGAATTCCAGA